TGTTAATGAAAAAGAACATGAGTACATATCTCCCAAAGCAAGAGATAATCCAAACATCACTGGGATTTTAAACAGCAACTTTACCCTCCTGATTCTCTTTTGCTCAACCTAACGTTCAAATTCATTTTCATTCTCTTGACACATGCCAAATATTGGCAAAGGAAGTGATCCCTGTGTCCTGAATTCAGGAATTGACTCTCTCATGCTTTTGCTCTGGGCTGTTTTCTCCCCTGATAATGTCAACATTGGAGGGTTGTTTTTTTTTTTTTTTCTTGAATCCACCAATTCCAATTATTTGTACAAGGAGAAATGAAGTTTCAAAGAGCATTTGCTTTTTCATGTTCAGCGCTCTAGAAGAACAGACTGGGACAGTGCAGGAGTGACTATATGGTGTTGCTTGGGAAGCGCCCACAAGTTCTTTGAAACAGAATTTGGAACAGCTGGACCACTGCAATGTTTTATTTTAAAATAGACAACATATGTAATGCATATGGTCCTAGACATGTATGGAGACACAGGCAGACAATCTGAATGGTATCCAAAGACACCTGCACCTAGAATTCTGTTTCCTTCTATAAGATTTTTTTTTCCCCTAAGAGCACATGTTCCCACTTTTGGATTTGCAAGATACCATCTGAATCCCCATGTGTGTGGCTCCTTAATAAAGCCAATGAGAAGTTGCCTGCAACGGAGGTGTCGGAGTCAGTGAGTTAATAACCACCTCCTGAGGACTCTCTGTTCTAGAAGCTCACAGGGGAACCCCCAGGTTGGAAACTGCCCTTGAGGAATGCATTATCTACCAAGGTGTTCAACTGTGTGCCTCTGTCCTCATCACAGAGAAACTGGAACACAACCCAGCAACAACTCAGAGACAGGACATAGGAATTGGTTATACAGGGGCAGAGCGCATCCACAAAGCAGAGAGATTGGAGAGGAAATCCAGCTTCCCAGAAATGATTCAAGAAGTAAGGAAAGATGGAACATTAGCCATAAGGCAGAGTCATCTTTGGCTCATGAGCAACTTAAAACAAGTGCCTTTGCAAGCACCAAGAAGCCTGCCTGATTACACCTAACTAACATTTATTGAGCAGCTAGTATGTGCCAGGTGACTTCCAGGCACTTCTTATGAGATCCCATCAACACGCTCCATGGTAGGCTTGAACACTGTCTTCCACTCACCCATGGGGACAAGTAGACTCAGAAACATTAAGCAACTGCCTCACACCACATACCCAGTACTGGCAGATCTAGCCTTCAGCTCCAGTCTTTGTGATATTCCTAAGCTCTCCCACTTACCTCCTTGCTATCTATCTCCTAGAAAATACACTGTTCCTAACTAGTTAATGTAACAATATTCCATAAAATCATGAGATAGAAAACATTTACTGATAGGGTGAATTTGTTTATTTTGATGAAATAAATTCCCTGTTTTAACAAATATGGACCTACTAGTAATCCCAACAGTTAGGGAGACTGAGGCAGGAGAATCATAAATTCAAAGCCAGCCTCAGCAACTCAGCAAGGCACGAAGCAACTCTGTGAGACCCTGTCTCTAAATAAAATATGAAAAAGGGGCTGGGGGTGGGGCTCAGTGATTAAGCACCGCTGGGTTCAATCCCTGATACCAAAAACAAAAACAAAAGTACCTTCTATGTGCCAGGTACTATGCTAGGTGCTAAGAATATAGCGGAGAACAACAACAACAACAAAATACTGAAATCCCTGCTTAACAATAACAATCGGATCCCTTTCACTTATACCTTGAAATAGCATTCCTGGTCTATTCTCCCCCTTTTTTTTTAGGTTATACTAAACTCAGAGAAATCTTCAGGATGTCCCAGGAGCCCGTCACCCTTTTAAGTACTCTTGAGTTATTGGAACAATTAAAATAATAAGCCTAAGTCTGAGTAAATGATAATTTTGTGCAAGCAAAAATCCAGGGGCTGCTCGTTTTGCTTGCTGGAAATTCTACTGCCTTAAGCTCTCCCACATCCCCAGGTATGCAAAGGATCTTGAGGATCCTTAAACTACTGTCTGCGACAGCAGAAGGGAAACTGAAAGGTCAACTCCTCTTACACGCAAGGAAACCAAGGCTGAGAAGAGAAACAGTTCAACCAGCACCCGACAATTATTTAAAAACAGTTCGCAAGAACCCAGACCTCCTCAATTCAAGTTCATTCCCCACGTGAATCAGGAGGAAAAGGAAAGAGAGAAAGAAGGGAAAAAGGAAGATTTATTTCATATATATATTGGGGATTAAACCCAGGGGCACCGAACCACTGAGCCACATGCCCAGCCCTTCTTATCTTTGGAGGCAGGGTCTTGGTAAGTTACCGAGGGCTTTACTAAGTTGCTGAGGCTGGCTTTGAACTTGTCACCCTCCTGCCTCAGACTCCCAAGTTGCTGGGATTGTGGGCATGTGCCATCGCGCCCTGCAGGAAGTTTTATTTCAATAGAGTTATTATCTGAAAAAAAAATGCTAATTTGATACGCATTTTTCTGTAAGCCTGTTTGAAACATTAGTAGAAAAGAAAATCGTGCTTAAGACTCGCTCCTAGCCAAGTATTAGCAGAGTGAAGCTGTCTTCATTGAGCCCTTGGGATGGGTAGAGGGGTGGGGAGTGGGTTTGTAGCCAGGTCTCCCTAGAAGAGCCAAATTGCCTTTTCAGATCCATTTCCTAAGTGGCCCGAAAGGCAAAATAGGTCATCAGCAAAGTTTTCAAGAGGTTTTAATAGATCAACAAAGAGCAAAACACTTGAAACGTGGGCCATATTTTTTCACAGTCACAAAAGAGGCCCCTTCTCTCTGAGCTAAATGACCAGTTGTACCGTCATCATTGAAGAGCGATAAATTAGCCAAGCCAAACTGGCAAAGTGAGGCCCCGGTCGATTTTGTCAGCTTGCAGCCTCATCCGTGAAATCCGAGAGCAAGAAGCCAATGCTAGCCAAACTGCCTGATCTGCCTGTTAAAATCGGGAGGCAGGGGGTGGATGAGGCTTTTTTATGAGGACCTAGCAGGATGAGCATCCTGCACACCCCACGCTTAGTTTTTTTTTTTTTTTTCCTGAATTAAGTTGCCCTGGGACGCACAGGGTGGAGGGCAGAGGTGGAGGGCAGAATCTGTTGGAGGAGATGGAGAAGAGCCACCTAGATAGCACCAGAGTCCTCATGTCAGGGGAGAGACCTCAAGTTGGAGCAGGTTTAAGATACTTGCACATCCAGGCACTGGAAGCATTTAGATTGCCCCCAGCCCAGCCAAGCCCAGCCCAGCACCACCTTCCTGACTATTCCAAATCAGAAGGGAAATGTTTCAAGACCAAGCAACAAACAAAACAGAAGTGATCTTCCCAGGCGAAGCACCCAACCTCAGCTGGAAAGCACTTTCCTGAGATCGAATCTAAGGCAGTTAACACAGCAAAGACGATTCTCGCAGATTCTCTAATAGAATTCCTGCCCATGCGATAGCTCTTCCAAAAGCTTGTGTTTTATCATTTTAATGGAGCGATTTGGCTGTTAAAATACACATTCTTCAACTTGCCTTCTGGAAATCGAGGCTTTTTTGTGTGTCTTGGGCATAAACAACACATCTCGTTCAAACACTGACCACTGCTGCTTCTCAGAAATATGACAGAAGATTTTAAAAATCCAACATAAGAGGGTGTAAATCTCCCACGCCATGCATTTAGGTTTGAACAATACCCCAAATCAATAAGTGGAGAAATCATCGCATTAGAGTCACGCTGTCACCGTAACCCATCTTACAGCCAAACCCCAAGCATGGGAGACAGATAGGGGGAAAAAAAACTGCCTGAAGCAGAGACCACACATGAAAATATTATTCAAACACCCTTCCAAGTCAGAAATTGATTTTCCCCTTGCCCCGATAGGATTGCTGGTTCCTGGCAGGTCCCCGTACTCGAGTAAAATGTTGCATTCGAGGAGATGAATAAAATCTTGCTCCGTTTGATATGAGATTATTTTTCTTCGTAGTCTGCATATCAAGAGACCGAGTGCAGATGAGGTGGAATGAGCCGATTTCCTTTAACAGAAAAGACCTTCTTCATTCTACCTCCTTACGATTTGCTTGGTGGCACTCCAGTTGAATCCTCCGAGTTACATTGCCAGTGGAGGGTAGTATATGTTAGTTCCACGTGTTGGGATTAATTAGTTAGCCCTTAGGAGGTTTTGCCTACAGCCCTGTGAGGAAAAGTGTGAATACATTGAGACAATTAATTCACAATAAATGGCAGATCATAGCCCTCGCTGAGTAAATTTCTGTTTGTCTCTTTCATAAGCTTTGCTCACAGACGAAGCACACTATAAAGCAATGCCCTTGGCTGTCACAAACTAAATTCCCATTTAGCTTAACCCTCCAGGTTTCAATGAAAAAAAATCTTTTTCTTTTTCTTTTTTCTTTTCCTTTCCATTCTTTTAGTTTTTAATTTTGGAGGGTGGGGACTCAAACCTTTTAATGCTACACCAAATTGGCCATGGGGATTTGGAAGGGGAGGACCCAAATCTCGTCACTTTGCTGAAAATCAGCAGAAACCCTTTTTGTCCAGAGAATCCCAATAATTGTAGAGAAATTGCTCTAGACATAACCGCTGGAATGGCAGAATCTATTCAAAACCTATGCAGCTAAATAGGCGGTTTTAGCAAAGATCCGATCTGCTTTCAGTGTTTTGGTGGAATGCAGGCGAAGTTCCAGTCTCGTGTTTAGTTTTTAAAGAACATGAGTGCACTGGCATTGTGATCATTTGATAAACATGTTGATGCCAATATATTTTTTGCCTACATGCAGTAAACTTAACCAGTTAAGTGATGCAAGTTGACAATGGGAGGTAAATAGATATATATATATATCTTGGGATGTTGGTGGGAGGTACCGGGGAAGCAGCTAATGTTTGTAATGCCTAGTGAATTCCTGTGTATTTGAAATGTCAAAGAAAATGTGATGTGTTTCTCTAAATTGTGTCTCTCTCTACATGTATAAATGAACAGACGCAGATAGAGCCCAAAAGCATGGCATGGATGAATTTATCTCTTCCAACCCCTGTAACTTTGACCACGCTTCCCTCTTTGAGATGGTACAGCGCCTTACTTTGGATCACAGACTTAATGATTCCTATTCTTGCCTGGCAAGTATCTTCTTTGGTCTTACAGCACTTTAAACATAGCTTTTTTTTTTTAATGAAATTTTTCTCTACCTTTATGTCAGAAGCTCTTTTCTCCATGATGGAATGGCTTTAACAATTGCAAATGTGTTCTCCATTTCCCGGGGTTGAGATAGTTTAACTTACCAAGAAACAAGACTGAGCGGCAGGAAGTTCTCAGAAGAGACACGTCCAAGTCCCCAGCTTCCCCTTCATAGCTTCCCCACTTTTCAGCTGCTACATGAGAAATATTCCGGAGGGGGGTAATCGAGTTTGGCACCTGCTACTGGAGAACTTGCAAAAATTGCCTCCTTATCTTAAGAGTTTAAGATGTCCCTCGCTTCCTAGCCCAGACCTGGTGCTCCTATCTCAAAAAGAAATAGACTCTTTACTGTGTCTCTTTTAAAGATTGAAACGATTCAACAAATAAATTCCACTCTCCATAAGCCTTTATTGACGGGGGTTTGTTTGTTTGGGTGTCTTTCCTTTTTTCTTCATAATATTCAGAGTCTTTTTTTTCCCTACCCTTTGAGTGAATTTTTTATGGTGCATTAGAAATTTGGAAATCCAGCTAACCAGCAGGAGTCTCAACATTTTCTAAAATCCTATTTTAAACCTAGGTTTAAATTAGTTAAATTCAAGGGAATGCTATTATGTCTCTTTTGGATTTCTGAAGATACATTTTTGGCTTTAAACTATCAAATTCAAAAGCCTAAAAAAGACTCGGGTTTACTTCCTTCTGCAAACCCTCAATTATTACTTCATTTCTTAAAGGTAAAGGCTAGGAATCCCACTTTATAGATGGGAAAGATGAGGGGGAAACGATGAGAACGACTTCATACACAAGAAAACTCTCATCCCTAAATCCAAACACTGAAGTCAACGTGTCTTCATAGTATTAATATGGTATAATTAATCAAGCAAGCTAACACACTATTGATTTCAAATTTCTAATGCACCATTAAAAAAAATCCCTCAAAGGGTGGGAAAAAAAATCTAAGTTATATCTTCACTGTATGCTGAATAATTTATATTTCAAATTCCTTTTTTTTTTGTTTGTTTCTTTGGGTTTTGGTTTTTTGGGTTTTTTTTGGTTCCAGAAGCCAATATATAATATATAAAGGGTAAAAATCATCTTAAAAATAGAAATGGGATTCTGTGGAATAATTTATTAATCCATGTCTCATAAATGAAATGTTGATTATCTCAGGTTTAGAATCCCTTTATCAGAAGGCTCTGAACTTTGCCAATTTGGAAAAGAACATATTACTTTGACTTCAAGGGGGAAAAAAAGTTTACCTAGCATTGCAAGGCAATTTTTCTCAAATGCGTTTCCTACTATTATGTAGCTTACAAATTATAAATTGCAATTATGTAATTATAAATTGCACTTATGAAACTTGTAAGAATGTGCCTCTGCACTTAAATTATTGCCTGTTATGTATAATTCTCTTTCTCTTGAGGGACTTTTTTTAAGTATATAATTTTCAAGATTTCTTTTTCTCCACATTGCCGTTATTTAAAACAATTTTCTTTTGTTTTGAAATTTACTACAAAGGAAAATTAGCAATGCCCTCTTTAAAAAAATTAAACCAAAAAGAAACATGAAATATTGAAGCTTGTTTCCATTAGTCATTATCGGCTTAAAAATAGGGTCCAAAATCCAAAATCATTTATGAATAGAGTAAAATAGCCTTCTCCCCCCATTTATATACCTATATCTATTAATCATCGTTCCAGAGTTTCAGAAAATAACAGAAATTAAAAGAACTTTATCTCCCACTTCTATATATTCCATTTTCTCATTATTACAGTCTTTTTTTTTTTTTTCAGTTGGTTTTGGAGACCGACCAGCAGGGATACATAAATTTTTCTGTGTCTTCGACTCAGTTCCTAATTGATATTTCTTCAACTCTTTTCAAAGCAGCTATTTTGGCATCTACAAAAGACTTGGTGTCATCTGAGTCGTAGAAAATATATTTTAATCTTTCACAGCAGTGTTGTTTCTAAGATTTAGCATTTGGGGTAGCAGATGGAGTGGCAAAGAAGTTGCCTATAGGGGCAGCCCATTGCCTCGACTACTCTCCCGCCCTCTGCAGTAACTTATAATTTGAAGTAGGAAAGATGCCGTCTTTCGTTGGATGCATCTCTCTAAGCTGCATGTTGTCAATCGAAGATTCCCCCAGATCCCTAATGCAAGACTGGAGGGTCGCAAAGGCCCCCTTCGCCGCACTTCTCTGTCCTCTCCTCTCTCCTAGTCTCTTTCTCCTCTTGCCCTTTCTCTCCCAAGATGGAGCAACACTCAAAATACAACTCAGAGAAGACCCTCAAAGTAAAAAGGAAGTTCAGATTTAAAACAGTCCTAAATTCCCAATTTACCAAGCACTTCCTGAATCGGTTTATTTCTTGCTCAGCCAGCACTGAAACCAGAAACGGTGATTTCATTCAGGCTCAGCCCAAGGATGACCTTGAGCTGCACACATTTGTCCTTTCCGAGTACCTGTTCTCTTAAGCCCATGACAGAGGTAGTAACTTCTACCCCATCATGCCACCCCATCTAAGTCAGAGACCACATCTGCATTTTCTTTGATAGCAGAGTCTCAGCTGGTCTTAGAGCAAATGCATTATAAGAAGACAATTACGGTGGGGGCAGGGGGCGGGGGACTGGAAACCAGGACACAAGAAGTTCCTCTCAGTTTAACTGAATCATTTCTGATTTACAACTGCAAAAAAAAAAAAAAAAAAAAAAACATAGTCATGCTATCTCTTTGGAGAATTCGGTTATTAACTTCATTTTAAGATTTTAAGAATATTCTTCTAAAATGCAAGGATTAATGAGGCCCCCATATATATATAAGGGCAACTCTAATATTTCTTCACGTTCTGGATTAAAGAAGTAGAAGACTTGGAATAAGATAGAACTGAATTTGAGTCCTGTTTCTGTTTTGTAATATCTATGTGAGTTACTTAACCCGGATTTCCATTATGTTACCTATAAAACGAAGATCAGCATGCTGTATCTACTTCACCAGGTTGCTAGAGAGCTCAATGGAAAGTTCTTTGTCCAGCATAAAGCACTAACTAATTTAAGGCATTCATGTTATGATTTTCTCTTACCAGCAATCAAGATTTTGCTCAGCCCATGGTCTAGTGGTAGAGCCCTGGGTTTCAATCATACTATCTGCTAATACAGCTCACCCACTTATCAGGAAATCCCATGTCCTCTCTGCTCTGTTTTCCTGTCCGTATAAGAGGGATAACAGAGTCTACCTTATAGGTTTGGGGGGAGAATTAAAACACGTAGTACACACAATGTGTTGAGCACAGCAGCTGACGCTCAGTAAGCAATCAGGGAGCTGATTTTTAGACTCCTTCCCCAGCCACTCTCAACTCTATCAGTTCTCCAGGAAACAACCTGTATTTAAAAGAAAGTCTTTCCTTCATTCCCCCCACAGGGCTGGTTCAGTCCTGGCCAGGTGTTTGTATTAGACGAATACTGCGCCCGAAATGGAGTGCGAGGGTGTCACCGACATCTCTGCTACCTCAGAGACTTGCTTGAACGGGCAGAAAATGGCGCCATGATCGACCCCACCCTTCTTCACTACAGCTTTGCCTTCTGTGCATCGCACGTCCACGGGAACAGGTAAGCACGATTCTGGTGATGCTGATCAAAAAGCGGAAGGAAAGTGGAACTGGCAGTGATTGGTCACTGGCCTTGCTTTGACAACCATCCCTAACTGTCTGTCCATCCCCAATCCCTCAGTAGCAAGGGGAGCACACACATGCACACACGACACCTACAACACACAGAACATAAAGGTCTAATTTAGTTTCTTCTCCTTTGGAAAGACTATAAGACTATTTTTAAAAAAAATGGCAAACAGGTGTTCATTTTTTTTGGGGGGGGGGCGGGGTACTGGGGATTGAACTCAGGGGCACTCAACCACTGAGCCATATCCCCAGCCCTATTTTGTATTTTATTTAGAGACAGGGTCTCACTCAGTTGCTTAGCACCTCACTTTTGCTGAGGCTAGCTTTGAACTCGTGATCCTCCTGCCTCAGCCTCCTGAGCCGCTGGGATTATAGGTGTGCACCACTGCACCCAGCCAAACAGGTCTTCTTGGGTGACCTCTGAAGTAAGACCATTCTGAGTTCAGATCATGGCTCCTCTTTTCACTAGCAATGAGTCTCCTTGGTAATAACCCCCTCAGTGCCACGGTTTTCTCATCTGTGAAATGGAAATGAGAGCATCCTCAGAGGGTTGTTGAGAGGACACTGGTGGCTATAAAAAGCTCAGCAATATGCCCAGAACGCAGCAAGAGCTTAACAAATGTTTGTCTTTGTTGTTACCACTGTTCCTTCCATGAGTGTTTGGTGATTACTTCGTGTCAGACTCTCTGGTACACATTCGGTATCAATGATGAGTCAAAATGAGGCACCCGACCAGGGCAGGGCTCCATGAGGATGGGTCCTCAGAAGACAAAGAAGAAAATTCCATGGTCAAATGGAAGCAGGAACATGACTCAGATGGAGTGGCAGGATGGTAGAGGGAGGGGGGACCTCTCTGAGGAAATGATGTTGGAGCTGAGAACTGAATCGTGTGTAGGAGTTGAGTGGTTCCAGACAAAAGGAACAGCATGTACAACTGTCCCAGGCAAGGAGGGAGGCGGGCACATTGCAGGAGCTGAAGCGAGCTAGGTAAAGCCGGAAGGCGGAGATGCCGACGACACTTACCACGTTCCCTGGAGGTGGGAAGAGCTTTAGAGATCACAGTCACATTATAGATTTTACAGATGAGCCCAGAAGGTCTAGTCTCCTGACTCTGTACTAAGTACTCTTTCTTTAGACCTTGCCCAGCTCCTGGAAGGAAAGATCCATGTTCTGAAAAAAAAAATGCAAAGAAGCAAATAATTTAAGAACATTGCCATTTGGCTCTGGAGACATGGAATAAATTTCCACACTGCCACAGCCAGTTTAACATCCCAATGTATATAGCGTCACATTAGTATAAAGATAAGCCTACTATATCCCAAAGCACCCCAACCAACAGCCAGGGGAGGTGCACCCAGGGAGAGCAAGTGGCTCTGGAAAATCATCCTTCAATGAAAAATATAGTGGTTCAGGGAAGTCCAACCTGGGGGAGGATCCAGAATGGACGACCTTTCTTTCAAATCAGATCTGAGTGTGTGCTCATCTTTACTCATGCCACAACTCTAAATTATCAGTTGGGTTTGTTCTGTGCTTTTCTTTCCTCCGGTGCTGGTAGATTTTTATGAAATGTAACTTCAACATTTAGAACTGCATAACAATAGCATTGTAGGTTTGAATATTTAACAGGCAACAGGGGTACCTTCAACTCCTGTTGTTACAAGATTCCATAGCACCGCCAATGACCTTTTATTTGCATAAAAGATACTCACGAAAACTCTGATACCTGGGGTGTATCTGTGCATAATTCTGCTTTTTATAAATATGTACACTTTGATGACTATCTGTTACAGCCTCTTGGACTGAATTCTTTAAAGAGAGAGAGAGAGAGAGAAGTTGCATTATATTCTCCGGGTTGTCACACTGTATTCTACATATGTTACTGAATAAGAAAGTGTTATAAAATAATGAAGTGTTTTTGTAAACTCCCTGGTAAACATCATCATGAATTATGATACACATTGTCTGGATTTCATATTGTAAGACTGCCACTTGATTCACAGTTAGGTTTATACATCTTGTCATGGAAACAGTTTTGGATTTCTTATTTTCTTTTCAGTTCTGATTTTCCTTATGCAAGTTTGCATCTTTTTTTTTTTTTTGCTTATTATTTTAGTTTAAATGCGTTTGCTTTTGCTTTTTGATGCATCCTTCTCTTTCTTTCTTTCTTTTGTTGGTGCATGTTTGTGTGCCCTTGATTCTCCTGTGGCTGGCCACACTCTGCATGCCTCATTGTTCAACCACCCCTTCGCAAAAGTCAACAAATGCATGTGTACCTTAGTGGGCTGCTGTCAAATGCAGACTCTGCGGGGAGCAAAACTCCCTCCCAACCTGAACCAGAGACTAAAAAAGATACCAAAAGAGAATCCAAAAGGAAAAAAGAGTCCAAAATCCAGACAACTCAGGAGATCAAAAGGTAAGAAGTTATGTGTGCTATGGCTTGGGCTTTGCAATGTCTTTGACCTTTCCCTGTCCTTCCATCCATGATGTCACTTCTGCCTTTGCAAACAGCAAGTTTCGTGTATTCATGAAGTCTCTGTTGCTTTAAGGGTTTTCAAAGGTGCTTTTCAAAAAGAAAAAAAAAAACGACTCTATCAGTGAGCAAGAACATTGTGCATTGGGACTGAATTTGAGTCAGGTGTTTAGTGACTTTTAAAACATGTACATATTGAAAAGACTAATTGAGCAATATGTAAACAGAATTATGAGTCAGATTGCTTTTTTAGTGGCATCTAGTTAGGGACCTGGTACCTTACCAAGTCATTCATAATAAGCAACCCGTGCTTGTAATTTTGAAATTATGTTTAAGGAGCAGATAAAATGGATTGGCATCAAATAGGCCTGTACTTTTATAGCATCTCTATCATTTTCACCAAACCCTCCTCAATTCCAAAATCATCTCCCAGAAATGAAACCTGTCTCAAATAATGATTTTTTTTCTTTTTTGCTTATTTACTCACAGGTACCTACACAAAGCAGGAAGCACTATTGTATATCTTTATATTTTTGCAGTGCTAGGGATAGACTCCAGAGCCTCACGCATGCTAGGCAGGCACTTTTTCACTGAGCCACATCCCCAGCCCTTAAATAATGATTTATAACATTGACACAAAATAAAGCCTATCCGTAAATTAATGATTATTAGTAGAATCAGTTATATATTGAGGTATTTCTAAGTTCTAAAGGTTTGTTTACCTTGGTGCTATTTCCTGTGTCCGTCAGGAATTCTTTCTTTCTTAGCTGATACATTAGCGACTTTTTTTTCCCTTTTAGACATACTTATTATTTTCATGGTGTTCCGTATGTCCTTTACCTTCCCCTCACCCCCAATGAATATGGACGCTTTAAAGTTTTGTCGTGGTGGTTTTAGAACTAATGATTCTGCTCCTAGCACTGCCAAGCTGCCCTAAATTCACCAACACATATTCTTATGCTTCAATATAAATGTGTTCACTGAATATAAGCCCTGAAATGCATACAGTTCACTTGTAGCAGAGCAAATGAAAATGGAAACATTTGCTTTTGAAGGCACATGGCATGCTGTCCATCAGTGTATGCAGGTCCCACAGTGAAGGCCAAAGAAAACCCTAATTCCATGTGGCCACCCATTTCCTTCATGGCCATATAAAAGGACGTGGGTGACATGCGGTTTCTGTTTGGGTTCCACTGTGAGAGTCGGACTGCAAGGCAACAGTCAATGCAAGCAGTAAGAGAAATTGTAGGTGCCTGATGGTCAGGCCTGGCAGAATCAGGAGTCTCTAGAGGGAGCAGGCCTGGCTGCTGTCCAAGGTGCTGCTTTTGGAAGGATCAACATCCAGGCAGAGCAAGAAAGTCGAAAAGCAACACTTGCTCAAGCCTGACCTATTTGCTAGGCCATGAAAAACTAGCCAAATGGATCTCCACTGGTACTTTGACAGGCTTTACGTGTATTTCAGGATCTATGTTTGCACTGCATTTTTTAAATGAAGAAATCATAATATTCAGTATCAGTTGTGTGACCGCCTTACAGTTTACAGGGTACTTTCAAACATTCTCTCACTTGCTGTCAAATTCCCAGGTTAGTCATTTTTGCATCCCTTTTGCAAATGATAACCCTGAGCATCTGTAAATTTAAATGGTGACCCAGATATCCTAAGTCCACTGCTCTTCTTCTTTCATTGTATCAGCACTAAAATTCTGAAGACCTGAATGTCAGAAACTGTTTTCTTTTTTTGGTACCAGGGATTGAACCCAGGGATGCTTAACCACTGAGCCACATCCCAGACCTTTTTTGCATTTTATTTGGAGACAGGGTCTTGCTGAATTGTTCAGGGCCTCACTAAGTTGCGGAGGATGGCTTTGAACTCATGATCCTTTTGCCTCAGCCTCCCAAGCCACTGGGATTACAGGCTTGTGCTACCATGCCTGGCTGAAACTATTCTTCTTAAATTCAGGAGTGCTCTGTCTTATTTCTGTGCCTCAGTTTTCTCATCTGTAAAATGAGCAGATTTAGTATCTTAATATCCCTTGGACATCTAAAATTTTCTTGTAGGAGTTATATCATAATTATAAGCACGAGACAATATGAACCCATCCACATATTTGATGTCTTTTAAGAAAGTGCTTCTCAACTTGGGGGTGATTTTTCCCCCAGAGAACTTTTGACAGGACTGGAGACAGTTTGGATTGCCACATTATACTATTATCATCTAATAGGTAAGGGTCATGGGGATATTGTTATACATCCTATGTAATGCACAAGAGAGTTCCTGCAAACAAGGCCCCAAATGTCAGTAGTACTAAGGTAAAGAAACACCTGGAAACACTTTAAAATCCAACTCCCACCAGATGCAGTGGTGCATGCCTATAATCCTAGCAGTTTGGAAGGCTGAAGCAGGAGAATGGCGAGTTCAAAGCCAGCCTCAGCAACTTAGCAAGGCCCTAAGCAAATCAGTG